CTCGGGGGCCGGGCCCTGGGGGGCGATGGGCCGGGCAGGGGCCGACGGCACCCGGCACCGGGAGCCGCCCCGAGCGAGGAGGGCCCGGCAATAGTCGAGCATATTTTCGTCAGCGGCGAGGCAGAAGTGCTGCTCCAGCGGGCTGGCGATCGGGGCGACAGATGCGCGAATTGGCCGGCGGGCAAGAGGGCGGAACTCGACAGACAGGGCGGCCGCGAAGGACGGGAGGAGGCGGAGGGCACTCAGACGCGGAAGAATTGCAGGCTGAGTGCGCCAGCACGGCCAGCAGCGGCAGCGGGGGCCGTGGCAGCAGCAATTTTCGACTACACGCAAGAGTGACCTTTGAGTAAGAGTGACCTTTGGTGCGCGGCTGTTTGGGGGCCGAGGGAGGAACAAACACAAGCGCACGTACCGCATCGCGTTCGGCGATCGGGGGACCCCAGTTGGCCCGCACCAAAGTTCAATCCGGCGAAGGATCACTCTTCCATGTAGTCGACACTTATGCACCACGGCCGGTTTCGCCCGGTTTCGGGCCTCGGGACCCTCACAGATCGATCTGGCTCCAAAAAATGACGCAGAAGGATGTGGTCGGCGGCACCCGGCACCGGTAGCCGCCCAGAGCGGCCATTTCGGCACAACGGCCGTTCCGCCCGAATTTCGGAGACCAGGACCCTCACAGATCGATCTGACTCCCAAAATGATGCAGAAAGACGAGGTCCAGGGCCCCAGCCGAGATATTCTGCAACGTTCTACGTTTTGCAACGTCGGATCTGAGGAGGCGACGGCGCCGGCGGCACTCCGTGCTGCTGGCGGGCCTCTCTACCAAACAGCACCAGGGGCTACCAGTCACGCTCGACCTAGACCTCATGCCTCAAGGGACCTTCGACTCCAGCATCCTGTCCCATACCAGCCACTGCCGGCGCATCTCAACCCCAACGAGATCGAGGCACTGGGGGGCGCTCTGGGCGACGACGCTCGAAGCGGCGACGACTGCGACAGCGGGGCGAAGACACTCGTCCTCCCTTCTCCGCGCTCTTAATCTTGCATTTCGCATCCCGACCTAGTGCTGCTCGCGCCGCGACCCCAAAGATAAGGGCAGGAGAATCGACGAAGAGGTCAGGGTGACCAAATGGCGGGGTCCAGAAACCCGGAACTAATAAAAGTGTTGCCTCGTTGGAGAGGCCGATGCTTGCTTCCGCCAGCTTCCGCTGGCCTCCCGCCATCTTCCGCTGGCGGAGGCCGATCTTCCTTGCCATCTCTTCCTCGTCGTCCTCCTCGTCCTCCTCCTCTTCCTCCTCGTCGTCCTCCTCGTCTTCCTCCTCCTCCTCCTCCTCCTCCTCCTCCTCCTCCTCCTCCAGGAAGAGGAGGAGGAGGAGGAGATGGCAACTCCCTCGAGCCTCGCAGGCAGGAGCCTGTCTGCAACGCCTCGAGTGGAACGGAGGCGGAGAGAGTCACAGCCGGCGGGCCCGCTCCCGAGCCGAAGCGATGACGAGGAGAAGGAGGAGGAGCAGCAGGAATCCGCTGGCTGGATCCCCGGGTGCTGCCGTTGCACCACGGTCGCCGATGTCGTGAGCTCTGGAGAGGTCCAGCGAAGCGCGGCCCCCCGAAGACCCAAGCGAGACCTCGACCCCCTGGGCGCTGCCAGACGCGAAATTGCCGCCGCTCTCGGGAGCTCCTCGGAGGCCCAGCAGAACAACGTCTTGCACAAATCCAGACGAGACATCACCCACCCTGGGTTACCATCCGCGCAACAGCCGCAACTTTCGGGAGCTCTCGGGAAGGCCAGCGGAGCGACGCCCTGCGGAGATCCAAAAACGAGCTCGCTCGTCCTGCACGTGGCCGACTGCGCAGCTTACGCCGTTTATAAGCTATCCTGCGAGGTCGCGCGGCATGACGACGTCAGCAGACCCAAGCGGAACCTCGACCCCATGGGGGCTGCCAACTGCGAAATTGTCGCCACTTTGGGGAGGCCCACCTCGTCGCCACGAGGACATCGTCGACGCTGACTACGAGGACGCCGACCACATGTACGGGCTCTGGGTGCACCTGCACGTCATGCATTCCCAGGGCACGACGTCGGACAACTTGCTTGTGATTCGCGACCTGGTGCTGGAGTCGTGTTGTCATCTCTCTCTCTCTCTCGATCTAGCTCTTTTTCCTTCTCTCTCTCTCTCTCTCCCTCTTTCCCTTTCTCTGTCTCTCTGCCTCTGACGATATATATCTCTATCTCTCTCTCTCTCTCTGTCGCTCTCTCCCTCTCTCTCCTCTCTCTGTCGCTCTCTCTCTCTCTCTCTCTCTATGTGTATATATGTGTGTGTGTATGTATCCCTCCCTCCCTCTCTCCCGATATCCCTATATGGATATGCCCCAGCTGACGAGTGGGCCCCCTGGGACGAGAGGGACACTGCTGGGCCGCGCACGAGGAAGCTCGGCGGCACGATCGGTCGCCCTCAGGGCCGAGCCCGGGCCCGCCAGGGCCAGTGCGCGGCCCACCAGGGCCGACGCACCGCCCGACGTCACAGGCCTCGCCAAAGACGAGGAGAAGGAGGAGGAGGAAGACGAGGAGGAGGAGGACGAGGAGGAGGAGGAGGTGGAGGAGGAGGAGGAAGACGAGGAGGAGGAGGACGAGGAAGACGAGAAGGAGGAGGAGGAGGAGGAGGAGGAGGAGGAGGAGGAAGACGAGCAGAAGGAGGAGGAAGACGAGGAGGAGGAGGAGGAGGAGGAGAAAGAGGAAGACGAGGAGAATGAGGAGGACGAGGAGGAGGAGGAGGAGGACGAGAAGGAGGAGGACGAGAAGAAAGAGGAGGAGGAGGAGGAGGAGGAGGACCGTCACGCAGTGCCGCCGCCCCTACACTAATGCACCAAGGTGGCGGTCATCAGCCAGGTTCAGAGCCCCATCCACGGTCACCACGGCACGGTCATCGGCCGCGTGGGGGATCAGAACCAGTACTGGGTGGTCCTGCTGACCAAGGGCAACACGGCCTACCTGCTCACGCCAAGCTTGACTGCCCTCTTCCCTTGGGAGCCAGAGCCTCCCGAGGAGGCCGAGTGGGCGGGAGGCGATGCAGCACCACCGTAATCGCCCAGGCCAACACCGACACCAGCCCTGTCCACCTCGAGGCCCATGGCTGGGCCACCAGGCCCGCCTGCGCACACGCGGATGACCGCGCCAGCTCCTACGCTTGCACCGCCGACGCCAGCCTTCGCACCAGCGACCGCGGCACCGACAGAGCTCACGCACACCCGGTCCTCAGCAGCGCGAGCACCTTCGCAAGCTCTGCTCGAGCGCCTTTCAGCGCGCCAATGCCGACGCAGACCCCGGCCCCCAGTTGGCTTGCCCCTTCCTGGCATCCCAGAGCGTGACGCTGAGGAGGCCCCTTACGAGGCCATCGGTACGACCCCCCCACAAGCTCCCGACCAGCAAGGTGTCGGAGGAAACCACCGAGGAGCCACCGACCTGTGGTGGTGACTCCCGCGCGGGCTGGATCCGCTACTCCCTCGGCCTCCACCCTCCTTCTCCCTGCACCTGCGTCAGGGGCGCCTGGATTCTTGATAGCACAAGGTGTATTATGCAGCACAGTTGTTGATACTCCTGCCGTGGTGGGGTGCTAGACGGTCTCAGCTTGCCTCGGCTCGCATGTATCAAAACCACTGGACCACCCTTTGCAAAGCCCCACTCCAATGACTACCTACAAGAACACCCCAACCCAACCGGAAAACCCGAATTTCGGGTTGGGGGGGCGATACGGGTCCCATCGGTGTCTTTGTCCATGTTCCCCGACGACCCCCCACACTGGGTATGGAGTGCAGATTGGGGCCTTCGGGTTGGGTTGGGTTGGGGTGGTTTGGTGGCTGGTGATCCAGCGCGCCACACCAACAACGCCCCTCGCAGCGGAAGGGGGGGGAGGGGGGGGTCTGGCTCCGGACCTCTGCTCAATGCGACTGTTTGCAACAGTACGTCCTACGGGGGAGACTCCACTTGTATGAAACAGGCGACAAAAAGAGCCAAGATCTGCTCAATAGGGGGGGAGGGGGTGCGAGGGCCCAAGCCGATCGGCAAAACAATGAATAAGAAAACGATCACCTTCGCGGAGCCACACTCCAGCGCGCCACGCCAACAGCGCCCCTCGCAGCGGCGCCACTGCGCTTGTCTCCCTGACCCGGGCGAGCACACGCCTCAGCCCTGCTTGCCCTGGTGGTCGCCTCCGCGCCCATACCTCCCTAAGCCACGGCGCCGGCGTCTCGCTGGCACAAGCACTACCGAGACGAAGCCAGGAAGAAGACAAATTCGGCTGAAAATAAATCGAGAATCTCTGAGATCCGGCGGCTCTGGAAGATGTCTCGGGCGCCGCGGCCTTCTCAGAGCGTTCCGGAACGCTCTGAGAGCGTTCCAGAACGCTCTGGAACAGATTTACCCTCGTCCTAGCCCCGTCCGACTACTGGACTGGCCCACCAGGGCTCGCGGGGACGGCATCGGGCTGCACGCCTCTAAAAGCACAAAGCACCCCAGAACCACTCACGTTGTGAAAAGATCACGACGGGAGGCTTTTCGCTGTTTTCGGCCTCCGGGGGCCCTTACGGGGCCTCGGGACTGTCAAAAAACGACTCAGGATGAAAACCGGTCCAGGGGAAGGGGTCCAGACCTCTGGAGGTCGGCTTTGTCAAAACAAAAACAAAAAAACAACAACAACAACAACAACAACAACAACAACAACAACAACAACAACAACAACAACGACGACGACGACGACGACGACGACAACATCAACAACAACAACAACAACAACAAGAACAAGAACAACAACAACAACAACAACAACAACAACAACAACAACAACAACAACAACAACAACAACAACAACAACAACAACAACAACAAAAACGACATCGGGGGTATGACGTTGTGAGAAAAACAGTTTACCAAAAAAAGAAGTCGGGGGTCTGGGACCGGACGTCGCACTGCGACCCATTTGTGCACCACGCCGGCACCCAGCCCTGCC